GAAAACAGACTCTTTTTTTTTCTTTTTCTTTTTTTTGGGGGGGGGTTTACGAGACAGGGTTTCTCTGTATTGTTTTGGAGGCTATCAGTCCAGCCCGGCCTCAAACTCACAGAGATCCGCCTGCCTCTGCCTCCCGAGTGCTGGGATTAAAGACGCGTGCCACCACCGCCTGGCTAGAAAACCAACTCTTCGTTACATTGATTCTTTGTATTGTTTTCTTTGTTTCCACTTTATTGATGTCAGCCCTCAATTTAATTATTTCCTGGAATGTACTCCTCCAAAGTGAGTTTCTTTTTGTTCTAGAGTTTCAGTTGTGCTGTTAATTCTCTACTATGACTATTCTCCAGTTTCTTCATATATGCACTTAGTGTTATAAACTTTCCTCTTAGCCCTACTTTCAAAGTGTCCCAAAAGTTTGGGTATGTTGTGTCTTCATTTTCATTGAATTCTAGGACGTCTTTAATTTCTTTATTTCTTCCTTGACCCAGGTATGGTGCAATTGCTCATTGTTAAATTTCCATGAGTTTGTAGGGTTTCTGCAATTTGTGTTGTTGAATCCTAACTTTAAAGCATGGTGGTCCAATAAGATACATGGGTTATTCCAATTTTTTGTACCTGTTGAGGTTTGTTATGTTGCCAAGTTTGTGACTGACTTTAGAGAAGGTCCCATGTGATGCTGAGAAGAAGGTATATTCTTTTGTGTTTGGATGGAATGCTCTATTCATGTCTGTTAGACCCAATTGGGTCTTAACTTCTGTTTGTTCCTTTCTTTGTTAAGTTTCTGTCTGGTGGTCCTGTCTAGTGGTGAGAGTGAGGTTTTGAAGTCTCCCACTATCACTGTGTGAGGTCTTATGTGTGATTTGAGTTTTAGTAATGTTTCTTTTACTAATGTGGCTGCCTTTGTATTTGGGGCATAGATGTTCAGAATTGAGACTTCTTCCGGATGGTTTTTTCCTGTGATGAATATGAAGTGACCTTCTTCATCTCTTTTGATTGATCTTAGTTTGAAGTCTAATTTGGTCGATACTAGGGTAGCTATCCCAGCTTGTTTCTTGGGTCCATTTGATTGGAAAATTTTATCCCAACCCTTTACTCTGAGGTAATGTCTGTCTTTGAAGTTGAGGTGTTTCTTGTATGCAGCAGGAGGATGGATTCTGTCTTCGTAACCACTCTGTTAGCCTGTGTCTTTTTATAGGGCAACTAAGGCCATTAATATTGAGGGAGATTAAGGACCACTGAGTTTAGTTCTTGTTTGTTTTTAATTTTCTGTTGGTGGTGTTATTGTTTGTGAATTTACCCCGTTTTTCCTCTTGGCTTTTGGTAAAGTTGGATTATCTATTGTCTATGTTTTTGTGTGTATAGTTACCTTCCTTAGGTTGAAGTTTTCCTTTCAGTATTTTCTGTAGGGCTGGATTAGTGGACATGTGTTGTTTAAATCTGGTTTTATCATGGAATATATTGTTTTCTCCATCTATAGTGATTGAAAGCTTTGCTTGGTATAGCAGTCTGGGCTGGCATCCATGGTCACTTAGTGTTTGTAGAAAGAACATCTATCCAGGACCTTCTGGATTTCAGAGTTTCCATGGAGAAGTCAAGTGTAATTATGATAAGTTTGCCTTTATATGTTACTTAGCCTTTTTCCTTTGCTGCTCTTAATATTCTTTCTTTATTCTGTATGCTTGGGGTCTTGATTATTATGTGGTGAGGGGACTTTTCTATGTCCACTCTATTTTGTGTTCTGTAAGCTTTGTGTACTTTCATTGGCATGTCTTTCTTTAGATTGCAAAAGTCTTCTTCTATTTTTTTGTTGAATGTCTTCTGCATCTTTGAGCGGGTTTCTTCACCTTTTCCTATCCCTTTTATTCTTAGATTTGGCCTTTTAATGGTGTCCCATATTTCCTGGATATTTTGTGTTAGGAATTTGTTGGACTTATGATTTTCTTTGGTTGATGAATCTATTTTTCCTAGTGATTCTTCAATGCCTGAGATTCTCTCTTCTATCTCTTGTATATTGTTTGTTATATTTTTATCTGTAGTTCCTGATCATTTACTCACCTTTTCTAATTCCAGCATTCCTTCAGATTGTGGGTTTTTTTCTTTTTGGTTTTACGAGACAGGGTTTCTCTGTATTGTTTTGGAGGCTGTCGGTCCAGCCTAGCCTCGAACTCACAGAGATCCGCCTGTCTCTGCCTCCCGAGTGCTGGGATTAAAGGGGTGTGCCACCACTGCCCGGCTAGGGTTTTTTTTTATTGTCTCAATTTCAGCTTTCAATCCTTGCACTTTTTGAATTGCTTTTTGCAATTTTTGCTTTGTCTTTTCTTCCATTTCTTTAAAGGATTTTCTCATTTCCTCTGTTAGGGTCTCTATCATCTTCATGAAGTTGTTTTTAAGGTCATTCTCTTCTGCTTCATCTGTGTTGGGATGTTCAGTTCTTTTTTTTTTTTGGTTTTTCGAGACAGGGTTTCTCTGTGGCTTTGGAGGCTGTCCTGGAACTCACTTTGTAGACCAGGCTGGCCTCGAACTCACAGAGATCCGCCTGCCTCTGCCTCCCGAGTGCTGGGATTAAAGCCGTGCGCCACCAACGCCCGGCTGGGATGTTCAGTTCTTGCTGGTGTACAGTCCCTAGACTCCGATATGTCATATTGGTTTTTCTGTTGTTGAATGTGTTCTTATATTGTCATCTTCCCATCCCTCCTTTCAGTGGGTACAGGTGGGGTCTCTTCCTTTCCTGGTGGGTACAGGTCCAAGGTTCCCTTCTGGTGGGTGCAAGCAGGTCCAGTATTCTGATGGTTCTCACAGTGGGTGCAGGCAGGTCTGAGGTACTCCCTCACCTCTGACCTCTTCTCTCTGTCCTGAGTTGGGGCAGGAGTAGACTGGCTCTCTCAGCAGGCTACTGGTTGCTTGGTCCTCCAGGGGCAAGTCTACCTTGCTGGAATCTCCAGGCTGGGAGATCCCAGAGAGGGCAAGAGGAAGAAAGTCAGGCCCTAGCGGGGGTCGGAGCTCACATCTGCCCTGAGTGGTGGCAGCTGTAGACCGGCATTCTCAACAGGTTCCTGATTGCTTGGTCCTCCAGTGGCGAGTTGACCTGGCTGCAGTACTCAATACAGGAGATGCAGGCCATAGCTCTTAATCATCTTCACAGATTCACAAATGAAAACAATGTTTTTAAAAAGCCTATTGGGCCATTTTCAAGTAGCCTACTAGTACAATTGTTCTAAAATCTACCACACTAACCATGGGGGGTTGTGTTGGGGAGACAGGCAATATTCGACTTACAGCATCGTTCTACAGATAGTAAATGTTGAGAGTTAAATTACATTTTTGCAGGTCTCGTGACATTTTTTTCCACCTTAAAATTTTGTATTTGTTAGGTATATCTCCACTCCTATGAATGTTATTGTGTTTTTACTCATTTGTATCTCTCTGTGTGCATTCATTAGTAAGTGTACATGTTATTGTTAGAAGACAGAATCACAAATTGGTTCACGATTTCCACCATGTAAGATCCAGGGAGCCAATGTAGGTAATCATATTTACTGGCAAGAATCATTACTAACTGATGCATCTCATGGTCCACCCACATTCTTCTTTCATACCGCACAATAGAAGCAATTTGACCAATGCAGCATCACAGACTTAATACTGTGAGATCACTATCAGAAATTCTGGAACACACTGCTTAATAGGACAAACATTTTTAAGTTTTATTCATTCTAAACACTTTGAATGTTTTCCCACATTTATTCCAAACATATTCTCACCTGTTAAAAAAGTTATTGAATATAGTAGGAACTGTGGCTGCTAAAAGATTTTCCATATGATTACACATAAAGTATTGAGAACATCATGGCAACAGGAACTGATGAACTCTTTGACAATACTTAAATGCATATATGCATAATTCTTTACAGTGTAAATCTGTTCATGAAGTTACAGAAACTGGACATGGTAAAGACTTTCCCACATTACTGACATTGATAAGGTTCCTTACCAGTGTGAGATCTTTATGCTTGTTAAAATGTCAAGAGCAAAGAAATAGATTCCCAAATGTTTATAAACAAAGGATTTCTATCCAGTGCAAATGTTATTACTCTTGTACCAACTGGATATAATGAAGGCATTAATACAATGTTTACACACATTAGGCTCCTGACTAGTGTCAAGTGTTTCATGTCTGTTATGATCACAAGAACAACTGAAGGTTTTTCCACAATACTTATGCACTTAAGACTTGTGTTTCACATGAACTATTTCATGTATGCTAAGGTCAATAGAATGAATGAACAATTTCCCACACCTTTTGCACACAAAGGGATTCTCTCCAGTGGGATTTTTTCATGCAAGTTAGGACAAGTAGAAGTGTTGAAGATTTTCCCACAATGTTTACATGAATAAGACTTCTCTCCACTGTGAATCCTTTCATGGATGTTCAGCTGACTGGAGGAGGTAAATGCTGTTCCACACAGTTAGATGCTTAAGACTTCTCTTCACTATGCTGTTGTTCATGAGCTTTCTGTGAACTGAAACAGGTGAAGCATTTCCCACAATGTTTACATGCCTAAGGCTTCTCTAAAGGGTGACTGTTATGTCTGTTATGACTATTCGAATCACTGAAACACTGAAAGCTTTTTCTTTTCTTATTTGTTTTTTTCAACACAGGGTTTCTCTGTATTGTTTTGGAGGCTATCCTGGAACTTGCTCTGTAGACCAGGCTGGCCTTGTATTCACAGAGATCCACCTGTCCCTGCCTCCCGAGTGCTGGGATTAAAGGCATACACCACCAACACCCAGCTGAAAGCTTTTTTAAGATGCTTACATGCTTGAGTGATAGGGAAAGTCCTTCTGTGTATATGTTTGTCTTATTGGTTGATCAATAGAGCACTGTTGGCCAATAGGGAGGCAAGGCAGGTGGGACTAGGAGTCGAAGAGGATTCTGGGAAATGTAGTAAAGAGTGGGGAGTCACCTTGTGATCCCAGGAAGACAGGATACATCAGGATGGTGTCCTTGGAAAGATAAGTTCTTATATAAGTTCATGGGTTAATACTTAAGACAGAACTAGCCAATGAGAAGCCCTGGACATTGGCTGGCAGCATTGTAACTAATAGAGTCTCTGTGTATTAATTGGGGTTGACGTGGTTCTGGGACCAGGCTAGCAGGAAGAATATTGTTACATTTAAGTCTTTTCTTCTGTATGAATCTTTTCATGAATATTTGGTAACTGGAGCAGGTTTTTCAAATGTTTAAATGCATAAGACTTCTCTCTAATGTGAACTCTTTTCATGAGCCTAACAGGAACTAAAGTTGGTAAGGGCTTTTCCACAATGTTTACATGACTAAGACTTCTCTGTAGTGTGATACCTTTCATGTCTGTTACAACTACTGGGGCTGTTGAAGGCTTTTCCACAACGCTTACTTACATGCATAAGTCTTTTTTTTTTTTTTTTTTTTGGTTTTTCGAGACAGGGTTTCTCTGTGGCTTTGGAGGCTGTCCTGGAACTCGCTTGGTAGTCCAGGCTGGTCTCGAACTCACAGAGATCCGCCTGCCTCTGCCTCCCGAGTGCTGGGATTAAAGGCGTGTGCCACCAACACCCGGCTTGCATAAATGTTCTTTTTAATGTGAATTATTTCATGGATGTTCAGATTACTGGAGCAGAAAAAGGTTTCACTACAATACTTGCATGTATAAGGTTTCTCTGCAGTGTGACTCCTTTCATGTCTGTTACAGCTACTGGAGTTGTTGAAGGCTTTTCCACAATGCTTGCATGCAAAAGGCTTTTTTCCAGTGTGAATTATTTCATGGATGTTGCGGTGACTGGAGTGGAAAAAGGCTTTTCCACAATGCTTGCATGTATAAGGTTTCTCTTTTGTGTGAATTCTTTCCTGTATTTTGTGAGTACTGGAAATGGTGAAGGCTTTTCCAACATGTGTATGAGAATACGGCTTTTCTCCTTTGTGAGTTACTTTATGTTTCTCAAAATATTTTGCATATTTAAATGTTTTGTCACATTGCCTACAAATGTACTTTTTCTCTTCAATATGACTTTTTTCATGGTTGATGAGGTCACTAGAATCAATGAAGGATTCTTCACAGAGTTTACATACAAAATGTCTCACCTCTTCATGGGTTCCTGCATTATTTTGGCCATATGTGTCTTTCATAGAGTCATTCTCATTGAGCTTGTCTCCAGTGTAACTTCTCTCCTGAGGATGATCAGAAGAGAGACTCCTACAGACTTCATTACATTGTTGATTTTTGCAGGGTTTCTCTTTAGAAGTTTCAAGTACCTGAAGTGATTCAGAATGACTGATATCTTTCCAATGTTTCTGATGTGTAAAAGCTTTTGTCACAGCTCCATTGTGTATTGGAGGTTTCCCTCTAGTTTGTTCTCTGAGATACCTATATGAGGGTGAATGACCAACGATGTTTCTTGCATGCAAAGAACTCTCATGAACTCTTACTCTGGAAGGCATGCCTTCATTGACCATATACTCTGGAACAGGTTGCTGGTTTTTACCACCCACAGTATGACATTCATATCTATGGTTTTGCACAATCATCTGAGTTCTGAAAAAAATGAGAAATGCATTAATGCAGCCAAGAGAAATGCTGGAAGTGGGCCTGTGTAGAACACAAGTATACAATCTCAGAGGCAAGAGAAGAATGATACCAATATCAAAGAAAATATGTACCACACGTAAAGACCTTGTCATGTGTAAAGAGGTAGTGTTGACTTTGATGCTCTAAGAAATACGGAGGAGCTGTATCCCAAGCTTGGAGGTTAAGAATAATTCTTGCTTTTCCAGCAGACCAGATTTGATGACCAGCACTCATGTAACAAGTTCCTGTTACACTTGAAGGTTCTCTTGCCATTTTCTGCTTCCCACAAATGGTTTTGGCACTGGTGTTGTACAAGATCATAAGTGTACATACACAGACACATGAAACAATTAAGAGATAAGAAAGGAGTGAACATGAAGGAAAAAGTCCTGGTGTTTGTAGACAGCAATAAGAATCATATAAAGTTGTGAAACACTATGGCATGTTGCCATTCTAAATACTCAGCCGGTGTTGGTTAGTTAGTTATCAACTAACTAATCCCATCTATGGTCATTGAAAAATAGGATCCCTCAGTTGAGAAAATGATCCAATCAGATTGGACTGGAAACAAGTCTGTGCAAGCATTGTCACATTACTGATTGATGAAGGAGGGCTTAGACTATGTTAGGTAGTGTGCTCATGGTCAGGAGGTCATGCTCTGTGTATGAAAGGCTTTTGTAGTTAGTTTTGGTCTGCTTGACACAAACTAGGACACACGTTTGGGAAAAGAGAACTAGAAAATAGAAAATGGCTTTACCAGATTGACATTTAGGCATGTTTCTGGTGGCTTTGTCTTGAACAATGTATGAGGTGGAATGGCCTGGCCCACTGTGGGTGGTGTCTCCCTAGAGATGTGGGCCAGGGTTGAATAAGTCAGGTAATTAATGGAAGAAGATTATATTAGTGAACAGCATTTCTCCATCACCTCTGCTTCAGTTCCTGCTTCCAGATTCCTGCATGCTTCAATTTCTGCTCTGGCTTCCCTTTATGATGGCACTGTAACAAGGAAGTCTAAGCTACAGGGCTCCACCCCAGAGTTGTCTTTTTGTTGTCACAGCAAAACAAAATAAACAAAGCGCAGTACTTATGCTCAAAGCCTCATAAGTATATACAGAAAGTAAAACCGTTTGCATATGAAGGGATGTTTTTGTATAATAATCCACTGGAAACCCTCTTTCCTGGCTCAATCTCATATGGCATATTTGTAATATTAACAGATTACACATGACATACTCAAATATTGAATGATACAATTAAATGCTCAATTATAGGAACTCATGTAGAATCATTTTTCACTGAGGTACATTTGGAACATTTGGCAGGTTCTCAGTTGCCGCATGAGTCCCAAATATATTATATAAATTAGTTTCTACTGAATATAAATTACCCCATATTCTTGCTGATGTCTTTATAGTCCCCTTCAATATTTTCTTCTAGTGCTTTTTCTAGAAAAGAATCCAGAGAATACACATCCATATTCAACATAAGAAATTATTACAACCTAGTTCTTATGATATGGGTAAACAAATTCACCACATTCTTTCTTAAATAATTCAAATACAAGCACTACACACATAAACAGCAATGGGAACGTGTGGAATTTTTTACCTATGGAGATCAGGTTCAAAAACGTTTCCTTCATCACATTTCTGTAGAGCTTTTTTGACTGGAATCCAACAAAGCCCACTCTCCCGAGGTGAAGTTCACAGTCACATCATCAAAGGTCACTGTCTCCTATGAGTGCATATATTAGGAAGGTTAATTTTAATTGACAGACATACAGGATACAGAATCATTTAGCATATATGTTTCTTAAGAAACCTCTAAATTACTATGTAAATAGGATTTATTGAAGAATATCTGTGGGATGCTATTTTCATCACTTGATGTAATAAAGGAAGAACCACCATGTCAGTTACTATTTATTAAGTGTGTCATCTGACTAGCAGCTTCATACTTCTGCATTTTGTGAACTGGACTCTTCAGTTGTGATAAACTACATCTGCGTTAAACTCATTTTTCTCAAAATAATTTGTGACAACCAGAGGAAAAGCCTGATAAAAGGAATATATTAAAGGGCTGTAGAAGTGGCTCAGTGGTTAAGAGCACTGGCTGCTCTTCTAGAGGTCCTGAGTTCAATTCCCAGTGAGCATAGAGTGGTTCATAATCACCTATAATGGGATCTGAAAGAAACAATTGAACCCACTGAATCAAAGCTGAATCAGTTGTTAAGTAGATGCTCCACAGTCAGAAATGCTAATGTCTACAGAGGAGACATAGATCAGCAAGGTTCACTGGGAACAAGGACTCTGCCAATAACTAGAGTAAGGGTCATTCCTATGGTATTATAGTCAAGAACATAACTTCATTCTGCCCTACATCAGAGAACTTGAAGTGAACTTGAATGTAAAAATTGTAGAATACTTTGGTAGAGGAAAAGTATGTGAACAAGCTAAAATTTTAAACAAAGGGATTAGTTGAAATTGACAACAAGTTTCGTACTATCACTGTGACAATAATGGAGCAGATAACACAGGGAAAAAACTTTGCAACCTTGAGCTCTAAACCAGAGCCAGTGAAAAAAATAAATCCTGACCCTGAAACCTGGGCCAGTGAAAGAAATACATTTTGGCCCAGAAACCAACTAAACAAACACATTCTGACCCTGAAACCAGAGCCAAAGAAGCACACTTTGTCCCTGGAACCAGAGCCACTGAAAGAAACACACTTTGGCCCTGAAACTAGAGGCAAATCTGCCTGGACCAACTGAACATGAAACCCACCAATCCTTGAGCAAGAAACCAACCAAACCCTGATCATTAAATCTAGTCATTCTGAGCTTGTCTGAGTTCAAGAGACTTGAAATCTGACCAAGTCCCACCCTTAAAATCTTCTCCATGGGAAAACTCCACCCCTAGGAAGCTCTATATAAGCCATGTATGTCTTCAGTTGGCAGCTGCCCTTCTCTGCCCTGGCAGAAGCAGCCAATCTCCTGGATTTCTCCTTCCAAAATAAATCTCTTCAAAGCATTTTGGGTGAGGATCTCTGCTGGGAAGGGAAACTGCCCAGTGGAGTGGAGCAGAGAAGCCACAGATGCCTCCTCTGGGAAACTTTCTGAGGGTAATGGAGCAGAGCTCAGATGTAATAACTCTCAAAGAGGAGCAGGATTGCTGCATAATCGGGAAGATCAGCCCCCACGAGAAACCAGCTTCAGGTATTGCCTGGCTTCCTGACAAGCCAGGATACCTTTCTCATCACAACTATAGTTATCCCCTGGCTTTCAGACAAGTCAGGGTACCTTTCCCTCCAGAGCTATAGGTATCCAAGATACCGCCCCTTCACAGCTTTAGGTATCGCCCAACATCTTGACAAGTCACAGCTGTAGGTATCCAGCATACCTTTCCTTCATAGTTGTAGGTATTGCCTGACTTCCTGATAAGTCAGTGTACCTTTCCCTCCAGAGCTGTAACACTTGCAGGTATAGCCAGACTTCTCAACAGTCGGGTATCCTTCCCTCCAGAGCTGTAACACTTGCAGGTAGCAAAGGGAAAACTTTGCAGCCTTGAATTCTAGTTGAATTGGGATCTTTATACAGCTCTCTCTGAACAATGAACCTAGCAACTTGTGGGTATCCTTCTTGGAACAGTCATCCTTAGTGAGCTATAACTATTTACTTTACAAATTGCAACAAGGGTCATCCAGATAGAAACTAACAAAGAAATAAAGGAACAGATGTTATGACTCAAATGAATCTAGCAGATATCTATAAAATATTTCACACAAACACAAATTTTACCTTCTTATCAACACCTCATGGAACCTTCTCTAAAATTGACTATGCACTTGACCATCTCAACAGACACAAAAAAGTTGAAATCACCCCCTGTGTCTTATCAGATAACCAAGGATTGAAGCTGGATTTCAGCAACAACAGAAAGCCTATAAACTCATGGAAATTGAGCAATTTTGTCAAGGAAGAAAAAAAGTTAAAGAATTCCTAGAATTCCATGAAAATAAATGCTCAACATAACCCAAATTATGGGACACAATGTAAGTAAGTAGTGCTACATGGAAAGTTCATAGCATTAAGTTCCTTAATGTATTATTTGGAGATACCTCATACTAGAGATTAATAGCATACCAGATTTAACAGCACAAATCTTCAAAACAAAAGGAAACATATACACCCAAAAAGAGTAGACAGCAGGCAATAATCAAACTGAGGGGCTGAAATCAATAAAATAGAGGCAAAGAGAACAATACAAAGACCCAATGAAACAAAGAGATGGTTCATCAAGAAAATCAACAGAATAGATAAACCCCTCTCTGAAGTAACTAAAGGCAGGCAACAAATCAACAAAATCAGAAGCAAAAAGGGGATATAACAACACACTCTGAGGAAATCTATAGAATCATTATGTCATATTTCAAAAACCTGTACCACTTAAATTGGAAAAACTAAAACAAATGGACAAATTTCTTGACAGATACCACTCACCAAGTTAAAACAATATCAGATAAAAAAAATCTAATAACCCCTAAAGAAATAGGAGCAGTCATTAAAAGTCTCCCAAACAAAAAGAGTCCAGGAACAGATGGTTTTAAGGTTGAATTCTATCAGAGCTAATACCAATACTCTTCAAATTATTCCATAAACTAGAAACAGAAGGAACACTGCCAAATTCTCTATGAGCCCACATTCACCTTGACACGCAAACCACACAATGCCTCAACAAAGAAAGAGAATAACATACCATTTTGATTCATGGATATTGCTGCAAAAATACTCAATAAAACACTGGCAAAAAAATCAAAAATATCATCCACCATGATCAAGTACTCTTGATTCTAGAGATGCAGGGATGGTTCAACATACTAAAATCTGCCCATATAATCCACCACATAAACAAAATAACTAAAAGAAGAAAAAAACACCTGATCATCTCATTAAATGGTGAAAAGTCTTTGGAAAAATCCAGCACCCCTTCATGATAAAAATCTTGGTGAGATCAGGGATAACAGGGATATACCTAAACATTATGAAAGGAATACACAGCAAGTGAATGCCAACATCAAGTTAAATGGAGAGAATGTCAAAAGCAATTCCAGTAACATCAAGAAAAAGACAAGACTATCTCTCCATACCTATTCAATATAGTACTTGAAATTCTAGCTACAGCAATAAGAAAACTAAAGAAAATCAAGGGGATACAAATTAGAAAGGAAGAAGTAAAAGTACCATAATTTGCAGATACTATGATAGCATACACAGTGTTGTTTGTTGAAGTCGGACTGGATTCTTTTCAGCTTTTTGTGTACTCATTCTGCAATCAGAAATCTGACGTTATTGAAAATACTAATTTTTTTCCTTCAAAGAAGTTCATGCATGCAATTTCTCATGCCATTTTTTTCTTCTTAGAGAAGCAGTGTAGAGTAAACCAACCAAACAACAATCCAATACCAAGTTCATGATTCCCATCACAGGGATCAACAAGACAAGTCTGACACAGCTTTTCAAATACCCCAACTTTTACATCAGAAATGGTCAGTGCAAAAGAAAACCCTAATTTAAAGTTCTTGTTCTCCATGACTGAAAATTCTGACCCACTCTTATAGAAGAAAAATTGACTCCTTTCTCATAATGACCTAACAAAAGAAAACACACACACACACACACACACACACACACACACAGTGAGGAGTTTTGAATTGGTATGTAGCCTAATGACAGATATTTGTTTATCTTTTGCCAGGTCTGAATTGGGGTTCATTGGCAGTACTAAGAAAAATGTAAAACCACAAAGGCAATGACAGGAAAAATCTAAAGCAACACAGCTATGTCTTTAAGGGACATCAGCAAGACAGGGCTCCACCCAGGTCCCTTGACACCACAAACTGGACTCAGTGTCACCAACCTGACTGGACTGCAAGTTCTGAGGAGGTGCAGGTTCCAGGTGCCTCTTCAGCCCAATAAGAATGTGACCTGGGACGAAGTAGTTCCCCTGGGACAGAACAGTGCAGGAGGCTTTGTGATTTAGGAAGGATTGAGTTAGTGCAGGACACAAGTCAGAGCACACAGCATATCACCAGGGGAACATCACGGCCACAATGACACCGCCTCAAGAGTGTAACAAATGCACAACCACAATACTAGGAGACCAGAGCAACTTCACTATTCCTGATATATCAAAGCATGCTCCTTCTGGGCCTAAAATCAGTAGAAGGGAATGTCATACAGGACCAAAGCCACAAGCCCCAGAATGTAAACACAATACTAGGAGACCAGGGCAACTTCACTATTCCTGATATATCAAAGCATGCTCCTTCTGGGCCTAAAATCAGTAGAAGGGAATGTTATATAGGACCAAAGCCACAAGCCCCAGAATGTAAACACAATTCAAAGACAATGAATTGTGGCAATGTGAGGCTTCGTGAATATCCATGCACCTCAATAGACATTTGATGAATGAAAGTATTAAAGAGACAAAAGGCCTGGATATTCCTCCCTCAAGGTACTAAGGCCAAATCCAACAAAGGTGAATGGAAGGAATTCCTAGGTCTGTCTAGACATAGGAATGAAACATAGGGTCTGATTTGTAAACACAAGAGTTTGGAATGATGTAAAGACAATTGAGGCTTTTCCACACCTCATGCTTCAACGAATTCATTTTCTAAAGTTTTTTAATTAAAATATAATTTAGCAGTTGTATAACACTTTGCTAAATCTTTACAGTGTAAAATTTTTAAATAAACTTGATTGAAGACTTGATTTGTCAATTAGCAAGCTGATGTATTTAGTGGAAAGTAGGAGCAAATATTTTAATGAAACATAATATTTGGGGTGTATTTTAAGGATGTTAATTACTTAAGGGAGTCTGAAATGACATAGCTAAGTTATTTTCTGAATCTTTAAATTTATGGATTGCAGAGGCTAAAGGATCATCTCAGAGATGAGGACCTTGTTCACAATAATGAAATTGTACCCTTGTATCAAGCTATTGTGTCCTGAGACCAACAGGGACTCCTTATAGAAGTTTCAGAGCTGAGACAACAATTAATCAAAAACATGACTAATGGTTTATCTAACTTTTATAAAAGAAGTTTTAGTTACACTATTAACTAGGAGAAATTTAGACCAACCTGGAAATGTTAATTAACACAACCACTTAATTATAAGCCAAAAAGTACAATGGAACCAATCAGAAAACAAAAGCACATGTAAACAATACATATTTTTACAATAGGTAAAGCAAAGATCATTCTCAAAACACTGATACTTTATCAGTTTTCCACTTTAGAGTAGGCTGTTGATTCGCTCTTAGATCATATTTGCCAGCATTGACAATCCTGAATCTAACTCCTGTCCTTTTGAAATTATGAGTGTAATCTAAGGAGGAAACTTTGGATGGAAAAGACACAGAGCCTAAGTTGATTATTGGGAAGACTTTAAGCAGGCTGAACAGACACCACTAGCTTGGTATTTCAATTACCTTTTTCCTCTTAGTTTAAATTGGACAAGACCAGAACTTGGAAAAACCTGTTAATGAAGAGGAGAGCATGCATAGACAGGCAATCAGTCTTACTTTTTAATGTGATAAGTTGAAATTTATCCTAGAAATGTTCATTATTGTTGTTTTAATAGAGCATTGCTAATTGTATTCAGTTGGAAACATCGAATTTCTTCTTGAATGAATACCCCATAAGTTACACAAATAATAACTGTCTATGCCAAATATGAACACGGCAGTTTTGTAGAGGGTCAACGGACAAGGACACAGGGGGAAAAAGTACCCTTATTGAGAATGAGCGCAATTTCACAAGATATTCTGAAATCTGTATATTAAATTCCAAAATGTCTCAAACACTTCAGATCCTGTCAGTCAAAAATTTGAGTAGAAAGCCACCCTTAGCTAAGAAGGTATTAGCACCTGATGCCTTAGGGAGTGGGGGTTGTCGGGGTAGAGAGTCAGTTTTTCCTAAGGAGTGAGGCCACAAATATGTTGCCCATGGTCCTGTGGATGGCTACACACATTTGGACAGCATAAACTGAACTCAGTTATAAAAAAAGAAAGAAGGAAGGAAACAAAACAGCAAAAGAAAAAGACCTGAAATTACGAGTCAGGTGTGCTGGGAATGTAAGGACTTAAATATAAAATAAGTCATTTATATTTAAGATATTTATATTATATCCTATAAAACATATAATTAAGAAGTTTTGTTGGGTTTTTAAATAACAAAACAATAAAGCAGAAGTCTACAAGGCTAGGTACGCAGCTACAAATTTGCCATGCCACCCTGAAGACCTCACTCCACGGAGAGGAGAGGAAAGTGAATACTGACTCACCGTTGGTGGGAGGTTAGACTGTTGCAATTAGGAAGCAAATCACTGTGCACTTGCCTCACAAGTAGGAAACAGACACACTGATATGCAAGCTACACATCTCTCCACAAATAGTGGAAAGAATCCACACACGACACCATAAACACGCACGCATGGTCACTGCTGCTCTAGCCCGATAGTTAAAAGAATCAGCCTGGATGCTCCTCGGCTGATGTCCGGATGATGGAGATGTGGCAAATGTGCGCATGAGAGTCCACGCAGCAATGAAGAAAACTGAAAGAAAATCTGCAGGCAAATTGATGTAATTACACAGAGCTAGCTAATTCAAGGGCACAATGTCAAGCATGGTGGTGCAATACTTTAATCCCAGAATTCCTGAGGCAGAGGAGGGTGAGCTGTGAGTTCAAGGCTATCCTGGTCAACACAATGATTTCAAGGGCTACAGAGTGAAAACTGTCACCAAAAACAAACAAACAAAAAAATCAAGAAAAGAAATAATGATATCTTAACTATAAATTAAAAATAAAGTAAAAATTAATATAACTACACACAAGACTAATAAATATATAAAAATATACTCCACACTCAAGTCAACTTTCAAATATAATAGTCTTCCATCAGGTAGGAAGCACACTTGTCTTTCAGATAAACAATCTGAAGTTTGGGAATTGACAGAAATTACATTCGATACAAAAACCAACCTCTCTGTGGCTAAAGGAAGGATATGAAATGTAAGTGTTTTCCCAGATATGCAACACTGCAAATTACTTCTTACAGAATCGACACTCTCAATCCCTTTGTTTAAAGCAGCCTAGAGCTAAACAGTGACAAAAATACAATGCCAATTCCATGATGCTCTTGGCCAGTTGCACCAGCATTTTAAGCATTCTGCAAGTTTTCAAAATTCTAATTGGGGTTTTAAAAAAATCGCTGCAAACAAGTAAATGTGAATCAAATTTAAATTTCTAATTTTGAACAACTGCAGTCAGAAGAACAAGAAAAGAATTCTTCCACAATATCATCAAAAAATGCAAAAAACGTACAAGATACGATTATAGGAAGTTAGACACAGCTTTGGGGTAAATGTCTCTCATACCAGGAGACATGCGGACCAGTTCTGAGGAGAGCAGATGACGAAAGGGAATGAAAGAGGAAAGAACTCCAAGGTGATATTGCAAAAAAAAAAAAAAAAACAAAACAAAAACGCATGAGTCTATACAGAACTCACCATCACCAACTCGGCAAAATCTGTGTGGGAAGAGGGTGCACTTTCACAGCAAGGCTGCCTGTGGGCTGCGCAATTCAAGAGCATGTTGGACTAGGCATTGCTGGGCCAGTCTCCACCTTTAACTGGACCAGGGGAAAGTTCATTTGCTGTTGCCACAAACAAGCTAATGTCCCAAAGCAGCCACCCAGGATTCCAGGAGCCCAAGGCACACTCACCATTTCGTGCTTCTGATTAGTCCAGGAGTCTCCCAAAGAGGCCTGCAGTCAGCAGAAAACACAGTCGCCCAAACAACTCCTCACGAGAATTCCCTCTGCTACGACAAACTGTAAAAAGGGTTTCTGACAAGCACCGTATGAATATCCCTGCTATTAATTGGTAATGTCTCTGATTGGCCAACACCACTTACTCCGCCCCCTCAGACTAAAGGATTCAATACCTTTAGAAAATATCAGGTCGAAGCCTTGGGTGCCAAGCATTCTTAAGGAAGGCCGAGTCCTGTAAATGTAAAGCCATTTTGGGATACATGGTGAGACCCTGACTCAGAACCAAGCAAACATTACAGACATGGTGGCAGACACTCTGAAATCCAGGAATCCCAAAGCCTAATCAAGAAAGTCGCTAAACTGGAGACTAACTTAGTCCAGAACCCTAGTTCCAGGACAGCCAATAACACTCAAAAAAACCTTGTTTCAAAACAAAACCAAACACAAACAAAAACAACCAAGTGAAATAAACAAAAACAAGGAATAAATTAAAAACAAGCAACAAACACTTTACCATGTTTAACTGTGAGATAAACTTAGCCATTTTGGGATTTCATTGCATGGCAAGAACATGCTTTAGGATTTGGGGTGTACTCACTCACTTCTTCACACACCTATCTTTCCTTACCTACATTCTCCTTCGAGTTAGACCTCGAAATTTGTTCTGTATACTCCAATCTCTTGCCCCCAAAGAAAGCAACAGGACTTCAAGATACAGAAGGGTAGATTCAAGGACAGAAACCACATATAGAGTTGGTAGGAAATCTCAAAGATTAGACAAAGCAAAAGACCATGATTGCCTCACAACTTATGTTCCAGTAGATCCATTTTCTATGTAGTTAAAACACACCAACGAGTGAACACAAATTTCAAAGCATATATAAAATAGGCATATGTACCGGGAATACTCCACTATGGATTCAGTGTTATGAAAAGTCACCCTTGAACTTCAGGAAAGGTTGTTTTTTGTTTTTGTTTTTGTTTTGTCCATGATCCATGAAGAAAGCCTCCGTTCACTAGAGTAAGTACTCCCAATAACCAGGATCACTCTGACTGCTAAGACAGAACCCACAATGGTCATTCAAGTGATGATGCAGAGACAGGAAATGATTAACCTTGGGACTTCATCATGCCCACTATTACTTCCAGGGTCATGAAATAATTCCTTCAACACCATAATATTCACTAGAGTAATAATGTCTCTTAAATTCACATGAACTTTTATTTGGTTTCATGAGAATGCTATTTTTCTTGTACACACATCAGGGTGCCCCCTGTGTGCCTGTTGCCCTGGGAGGCCAGAAGATGATATTGCATGCCCTGGAACTGGCCTCCCAGACTGCTTTGAGTCTGCACACAGATGCTAGAAGTCAGCCATGGTCTTCCGGTAGAGAGTCGGTTCTATTATCTGCTGAGCCACACATCCACCTTGGATTCACATTAAGATTTTAACAGGAGTAAACTAATATTCAACAATACTTTCTTCAGGAAGCTACCCTGGGCCATTGAGATGATACCGCCATCAAAGGCTAGGCCCACAACCAAACTACATCTCTGAACACGACCATCACAGGTATTCTTCATATGACGGTAACTGTTTTAACTAATCCTAGCCATGATGTGACTGACTGTCCTCATAGCTGTAGATGGTTGGGAGCCACCAAGTGGTTTCACTTAAGTCTTTTCAGAGAAAATTGTTTCTGTATCCCCTTGAAGAAATCCTGAACATACCCCCTGCTTTCAGGGAAATGACCTTAGTTGACCCTACTTGGAATTCTTCTCTGTGTCTCGGAGATTGTTGTCTGCCCCTATGCAGACTTCAGAAGAGACTGATAAGGTTCAGCAGGATAGAGCACTTTTTCCATTGGCAGCACAGAGGTCCTTTTCTGGTACATTTACAATTTCTTACAAACATAACTTACAAGAGAGAGGACTATATTAAGCCTCTGAAAAGAATTCATCAATAAGAACCAGAATGACTAGAACAACAGGACTGTATAAATGGTTTAAGAATGACACAGAAGAATATAAAAAGAGTAAGGTATTAAGATTTGTCATTCCTGATTAGGCGGCGGCTGGCGTGGGGCTCCTTAGATGCGCCATGGCTTCGGTAGCGACCGGCTCTCCTTAGCTGCCTGAGCGGTGCCAGCACCTTCCTCGGGAGCTCGCAGCAGCTGGCTGGCTCCTGCTCCACGGCAACCATGTGCGACCGGAAGGCGGTGATCAAAAATGCAGACATGTCGGAGGAGATGCAACAGGACTCGGTGGAGTGCGCTACTCAGGCGTTGGAGAAGTACAACATAGAAAAGGATATTGCGGCCCATATCAAGAAGGAGTTTGACAAGAAGTACAACCCCACTTGGCACTGCATTGTGGGGCGGAACTTCGGTAGTTATGTGACACATGAAACCAAACACTTCATCTACTTCTACCTGGGTCAGGTGGCCATTCTTCTGTTCAAATCTGGTTAAAAGCATGGACTGTGCCAAACACCCAGTGATCCATCCAAAAACAAGGACTGCATCCTAAATTCCAAATACCAGAGACTGACTCTTCAGCCTTGCTACAGGAACACCTCGTTTGAATCTGTTGTGTTTTGTACAGGGCATCACCCTCTGTACGAGTTTGTGGTTATAAAATAATTAGTAAAACAAAAACAAAACAAAACAAAAAAAAAGATTTGTCATTCCTAAAAAGTTTGATTTACATCAGGTAGTATGATGTTACCTAATTTAGAAACAAGAGAATTCTTTCATTTAACGAATTCTTATTAGGTTATAAATACAAATATTGCAAAGGTTGAATAACAGCTACAATTGTTCCTAAGCCTGAGAAAAAGGCTTAGGCTAATTTACAAGTAATGTGATTGACTATCAAAATTAATAATATTCTGCTCAAAGCTTGGTGATTTGCCTGGACTAAGATATCATCTAAAATAACTCAAAACCACAAACTGCTGCCAGTCTGAGAGCAGGCTGCTATTTTAGCATTGCTTACACTGAAATGACCTGTAGAATTCTAGGAATAGGGATATGGGGTTGATAATAATATCTATTTTGTGTGGGCTTAACCTGTAACCCTGGGCATGCTAGTGGATTATGGCCAAAACAAATTAATTGTACCTGTATCTGTTGAGAAATCATGAATATTTCTAAAGTCTGTATATATAAAGAAATTTCCTGATTGCTATTCAGTCAGATTTACAAATTCTCCCCATCTGGGTGTCTGACTCAACCCTCCCCTCTCCTGATCCTTACAACCTCTCTGAAGCCTGTTCACTGCTGGGGCTGGCCCCCAGCAGAAGCCTCTACAGAGGCAAGGGAAGAAGGAATGTTCTTTCTTTGCCTGCTTGTCCTGGCCTTGCCAGCACATCCATTCCTTCGCCGGCACCGGAGGCTGCTTCTTCAGGATTCCAACGTGTATCTCAGAAGACCAGCGGAGACACCCAGGCTCATGGGTATGAGTAGCTACTAGATTTTTGTACCTTCCATTCACAAATAGTCATTGTTGAACTGTGTAAGTCATTTCAATACATTCCCATATATATGTTTATATACAAGTACGTATATATACACACAGAACTGGCATAGTGGTCCTGGAAAGCCTTACCCAAGGATAAATCATTTGCTGTGTCTGCTACATTACTAGAGAAAGACCCTCGTGGGGCTGTTCGTTAGCTGTCTGTGAGGTCCTGAGGTTTGTGGGTATTGACTCTAAGTGAAGAGACTTTCTTCATGACCATGGGCAAAGAAAACCTTTTCCGAAGCTTAAGGGTTGCTTTTCGTGACTATGAATTCTTGGTGGAGTACTCATGGCATGCCTGTCTATTTTATCTATCCATTGAGTAATTGTATTCCCTTATTTGTGTGTTGTAATTATATTGTCAGAATATGGATACACTTAAACATGAAGTGTGAAAGTCATAGACTTTTACCTCATCTGTAATCTTGAGGTTTTCTAGCAAGCACTACATGTGTTTCCTGTGCTTGAACCTACTTGGGGCCTGTTTCTACCCCGAAGTCCTGTCTGCCCCCGCCCCCGCCCGCCCCTTTGGGGAAAGAGATGTAATGTACACAGCAGATGGCGAATGCACGGTGCAGATGGCGAGGCAGTGCGTGCGTGCACCCCAACTCCCAAAGCACGTTGTCTTACAAGGCAGTGAAATGCCAAGACGGAAACATTCCAGGGTACGGAGAATATATTGGAGTTTTTGTTTTTAAATCTGTTGTTGTTTATTTTCCTGCCTTGTTTGTTTGTCTTGGTTTTTCGAGACAGGTTTTCTTTGGGTACTATGGTCCGTGTTGGAACTCGTTCTCTGGACCAGAATCTACTTAATGATCCCGATTAAAAATGCCTGCCACCATGCCGGGCTTCTTTGTTTCGTTTTGGGTCAGGGTCTTACCGTGTAGTCCTAAACGTCTTTGAATTCGCACAAGTTGGTCTTCTAGAGTGGCGGCAGACAAAGTTTGTACCTGAGCTTTGCTAAACTGTTTTGATACTTTTCGCTGAGTGGGTACGGTTCGCCAATCCGGGATCATATTACTAAAAGGAATGAACTGTCCAATCAGGAGCACGGATGGTCGCAGCGTGCGTCCCGGAAGAATTCTTATGGTTTGTCAGGATCTGCTTGGGGACGACTTTGTGTTCGGCTGACTCCGGTGCTCTTTGGGAGGACACCGAGACAGGTCAAAAGCACGAAATGGTAAGTGCGCCTTGGACGACTGGAATCTTGAGTGACCGATTTGGGATAGGTGAGTTTGCGTTGCCAGCGGCCGGAGTTTTCCTCTGGAGCTGTGCAGTCCAGTGGAAGGTGGAGTCTGGCCCAGCAATGCCTATGCCGGTTGTGCTTAAGTGTGCACCCCACAGGCAGCCCTGAGCCCCGAGCCCGCCACTCTTCTGTCTGGTGAAGCTGCTTCCCCGCAGTCCCCAGCACTTTGGGTTGAGTCCTTGCGGTGACTTGCACTCCACAGCCTTGCAGCTCTGTCGCGTTGGAGATGCCGAGTCCAGACTGTACTGTGTGGGGACCAGGGTGCTCTGTGCAGTTTACCCTCTCCTGTGCTTGCTTCTGATTGGTTTGATTTAGGTTTTATCCGTTATCACCAGGGATTCAATTTCTGTCTCCTTCCCTCCCTGCCCTCATCTGGCCGACCTCAGAATTCCTTCCTACTTGTCCTCCCCTCCTTGTCCACTCCCTTTCTGCATCTCATTAAGAAAGAACAGGCCTCCAAGGGATCGTAGCCAAACATGGCAAAACAAAATATAATGAGATAAAGCAAAAAGCATCACAGCAGTGCACTCCCACGGAAGGAAAAGAGCCCCAAGAACAGGTACAGCAATCGGAGACACACACCCTCAGCTGGCCCATAGAAGTACTGAGCCAAAGGCTGTAATACATACACAGAGTTCCTGGTCCAGACCCATGCAGGCCCTGTGCTTGCTGCGTCAGATTCTGTTCACATGAGCTTTACTTAGTTACTTCCAAGGGCCTTTTTCTCTGGGTGCCTTCTGTCCCCTCTCTATCTTACAGTCCTTCCACCTTCCCTTCCGTGGGGTTCCCTGTCTGAGGGGAGGGATTTGATGGAGACCTCCCATTTGGACTTTCTCTCCAGGTAATACAGGGCTGTGGGTCTCTGCACCTGTTCACATCTGCTGTAGGAGGCAGCATCTGTGATGATGCTCTGATTTGAGCAGAATGTCGTTAGCAGTCATTTTATTGATGCTTTTATTTTTAGACCAGTAGTATTTGGTTTTACCCCGGGTCTCTAGACCATCTAGTCTCTTGGTTACCCAAGCAGTGTCTGGTGTGACTTCTGTTTCGAGAAGTGGGCCTTAAGTCAAATCAGACACTCCCACAAGCTTTGCCCTAGCATATTTTGTAGGCAGGACAGTTGTAGGTCAAAGGGCTTGTGACTGGGTTGGTGTTTACGTTTCTCTTTTGGTGGTCTGCAGAATACCTTCCTGTGTGAAAGACACTGGAATGTAGGGGTGTAGGATCCATGTGGGCACCAGCTCTGTTTCTCCATGTTCAGTGAGTTGTATGGGTGTTGTTTCCAGCAATGGGAACTGTTCCTCACTGTCAAATTGGCTAACAACTGAATTGAATGTAACCCAGTTCCCCTACTGGAAGCCTCCTTTGGTGACAAGAGCTGGCCAGTTGTGATTCTGTATGCCCCATTATTAGGAGACCTCATTGGGATCACCTTCATATATTTTAGGAAGTTTTCATACCATCCCTCAAACAACCCTCAATTCCAGCTGTTGCTCCCCAAATTTTCTCCCTCAGTCATATCACTGCTCTCCCTCCCCACCTGATCTTCCCATTTCTCTCCCCATCTGCCCCAGTTCACTTTAAAGTCTATCCCATTTCCCCCTTACAGAAAGATCCATGTGTCCCCATTGACCCTTCCTCTTTTGCTAGCCTCTCTGGGTCTACGCATTATAGCTTGGTTATCATTTACTAACTGCTAATAACCACATATAAGGGAATATATACCATATTTATCTTTCTGGTTCTGGTTACATATTCAGGATGATTTTTTTTCTAGTTCCATCCATTTGGCTTCAAATTTCATGATTTTTTTAAACAACTGGATAATACTCCATTGTGTAACCATACCACATTTTCTTTGTTCATTCTTTTGTTGAAGGACATCTAAGCTATTTCCAGTTTCTGGCTATTATCACTAGAGCAGCAATGAATATGGTTGAACAAGTGTCCTTGTGTTGTGATGGAGCATCCTTTGGGCTGTTTTTATTATGTTAAGTTCCATCTTCTGATATCTTCTTCAGTTTCTTTCTTTAAAGACTTGAAGTTTTTATCATACACATCTTTCACTTGTTTGGTTAGAATTACCTCAATATATTTTATATTATTTGAGACAATTATGAAAGTGTTGTTCCCCTGATTTCTTTCTCAGTTCACTAATCATTTGTATTAGGAAAGCTACTGATTATTTTGAGTTAATCTAGTATTCAGCTGCTTTTCTTAAAGCATTTATCAGTTGTAGGAGTTCTCCAGTGGAATTTTATGGTCACTTATGTATACTATGATATCATCTACAAATAAAGATACTTTGACTTCTTCCTTTTCAATTTGTAAGCCTTTGATCTCCTTCAGTTGTCTTATATTTTTTCCCTTTCATTCTCTTTATATGATAGAATACATTTATTTTGTATGTTGGATCATCCATGCATCTCTGGGATGAAGCCTGCTTGTTCATGATAGATGATCTTTTTTTATGTGTTCTTGGATTCAATTTGCAATTATTTTGTTGAGTATTTTTGTATTCATATATTAGTAAAATTGGTCTGTAATTCTTTTCTCTGTTGGGTCTTTATGTGGTCTGTCTATCAGGGAAACTGTGGCCTAATAAAATGAATCGGGCAGAGTTCCTTCTGTTTCTCTTTGTGGAGTAATTTGAGTAGTATAGTCATTAGCTCTTCCTTGAAAGTCTGGTAGAATTCTGCACTAAAACCATTTGGCTTAGGTTTATTTTGGGTTAGGGGATATTTAATGACTCTTTTTTCACAATGGATTATAGGTCTACATACATTGTTTATCTGATCCTGGTTTAACTTTGGTGAAGTATCTACTGAGAAAATTATCTTTATCTTTTAGATTTTCCAATTTGGTGTAGTACAGGTTTTTAAAATATGTCCTTATGAGTCTCTGGATTTCCTTGATGTCTGTTGTTGTGTCCCACTTTTCATTTCTGGGTATTCTGTCTCCATCTTTTAGTTAGTTTAGATAATGGTTTGTCTTTTTATATTTAAAAAATTTTTAAAGATTTTTTTTTACTTATTTTTATGTGTATGAGTGCCCTATCTGCATGGGAAACTTTATGCCCAAAGAGGGCATCAGATCCCACTATAGATCGTTGTGAGCTCAATGTGGTTGCATTGAACTCAGGACCTCTGAAAGAACAAGCAGCCTTCTTAACCTTTGAACCATCTCTCCAGCCCCCATTTTGTTGATTTTCTAAAAGAACCCACTCTGTGTTTCATTGATTCTTTGTGTTGTTCTCTTTGTTTCTATTTTGTTGATTTCATACCTCATTTTGATTATTTCTTGATGTCTAGAGCTTTCATGTGTGTTGTTAAATTGGTTGTATGAGATCTCTTCAGTATTTTTATGTAGGCACTTAGTGCTACGAACTTGTCTCTTAGAAGTGCTTTCATTGTGCCCTATAAGTTTGGGTATACCATATATTCGTTTTCATTGAATTCTAGAAAGTCTTTCTCTGTTTGTCTTGACCCGTTTTTTCGTTGAATAGAGTGTTGTTCAGTTTTCATTAGTTTGCAAGCTTTCTATTGTTTTGGTGACATCCAGCGTTAAGCTGTGGTGGTCTGATAGCATTTGAGGAGTAATTTCTTTTTTCTTTTTTTTAATCTCTTGAGACTTGGTTTGTGTCCAAGTATGTGGTCAGTTTCAGGGAACATCTCATGAGGTGTGGAGAAGAAGCTTTATTCTTTTGTGATTGGGTGAAATGTCTTGTAAATATTTGTTAGATCTATTTGGTTTATAATATCTGTTAACTCCAGTATTTGCCTGGGTGACATGTTTGTTGGTAGAGTGGGGTATTGAAGTCTCCCACTATTAGGGTGTGAGAGTCAATGTTATTTAAGCTGTAGAAGTGTTTCTTTTACAAACTTTGGTACCCTTGTGTTTGGGATATAGACATTAAGAAATGAAATGTCATTTTGTCCTCTGATGAGTATGATGTATTCTTATGTCTTTTGATTGGGTTTGAAGTCTGTTTTGTTATATACTAAAATGGCTACACCATCTTGCTTCTTAGGTCCATTAACTTGGAATATTTTTCCATCCCTTTACCCTGAGATGATGTCTATGCCTTTTTGTTGTTGTTTGTTTTTTGTTTTTAGAGACAAGGTTTCTCTGTATTGTTTCAGCGGCTGTCCTGGAACTTTCTCTGTCAACCAGGCTGGCCTTGAACTCACAGAGATCTGCCTGCCCTTGCCTCCCGAGTGCTAGGATTAAAGGCGTGCGCCACCAATGCTGGCTTGAGGTGTGTTTCTTGGATGCAACACAAGGATGAATTCTGTTTTTGCATCCATTGTGTTGTCTGTGTCTTTATTAGGCTCCTGAGAAGATTGATATTGAGAGATATCAATGACCAATGATTGTTGATTCTTGTTATTTTGTTGGTGGTGATGGTGTGTGTGTGGTGTGTGTGTGTGTGTGTGTGTGTGTGTGTGTGCGCGCGTGTGCGTGTACGTGTGTGTGCATGCTTCCCTTTTGATTTTGCTTGTCTGAAATTATTTATTCCTTGTTTTCATAAATGTAGTTAATCTCTGTAGGTTGGAGTTTTCCTTCTAGACCTTCTGTGTGACTGGGTTTATAGACCAATATTGTTAAAACTTGACTTTATCAAGTAATATCTTGTTTTCTCCACCTACGATTTTAAAAGTTTTGCTGGGTAACTGTCACCTGTGGTCTCTTAGAGACTACAACACATCTGGCCCAGCTTTTCTATCTTTAGAGTCTCCATTGAGAAGTCAGTCATCTGCCTTTATATGTTACTTGGTCTTTGCCCTTGCAACTTTTAATAGTCTTTCTGTGTTCTGTATGTTTGGTGTTTTGATTGTCAGATGGTGAGGAGACTTTCTTTTCTGGCCCAGTCTATTTTGTGTTCTGTATGCTTCTTGTGCCTTTATAGGCATGTCCTTGTTTAGGATAATTTTTCTCTATGAATTTTTTGAAAATGTTTTCTGGGCTTTTGAGGTGGAATTATTCTTCTTCCTCTGTTTTTATTATTCTTAAGTTTGATTTTTTTTCTAGTGTCCCATATTTCCTGGATGTTTTGTGTCAGGAGATTTTTAGATTTAACATTTTCTTTGACAGATGTATCTATTTCCTCTATCATATCTTCAAAGTCTGAGATTCTCTCTTCCACCTCTTGTATTGTCTTGGTTAAGCTTGCCTCTGTAGTTCCTGTTCAAATTCCTAAATTTTTCATTTGCAGAATTCCCTTAGTTTGTGTTTTCTTTATTGCTTCAATTTTTATTTTTAGGTCTTGTACAGTCTAATCCATTTCCTTCCACTGTGTGTTTTCTTGACTTTCTCTAAAATATTTATTCATTTCCATTTTAAGGACCTCTATCATCTTCATATACTCAGTTTTACAGTCCTTTCCTTGTGCTTCAGCTATGTTGTGATATTCAGGGCCTGCTGTGGTAGGATGGCTGGTTGTAGTGGAGACTTATTGTCCGGGCTCTTATTGATGGTGTTTTTATGCTGGTATCTAGGCATCTGGATTTGGGGTGAATTGTATGTGAAGGACTGATTTTGGATTTCTCTTTGTTGGATGGACATTTTATTCCTTGGTGTCTGGTTTCCCTCTGGATCTTCATAGAGTCTGATGGCTGTGCATTGCCTGGTAGAAGATTTTCTTTGGACCAGATAGTTGTGGCCACTGGGGGTTCAAGGTAAAATGTGTTTCTGAGTGTTGGAGCTGACACTTAGGGAGGGATGGGGATGAGCCAGGGTCCTATGGGGTTCCCAGGAGGGAGCAGAGCATCGCAGTCAAGCAGGATTCGCTTATTTCATCCCATTGTAACGGAGGAGACAGTGAAGAGAGGTCAGCCCAGAAGCTCTGCTACATACAGTGCTGGGGATGAGACCTGGGGGTTGGATCTCGAGGAACTGAAGGAGAGGGAAGATCTACAGACAGCCCACCTGCTTCCCAGACAGGAGAGGTCTGTAGTGATGAGCAGAGAGGGCCTGCTGGAGTGGGGGTTGGGTAAAGCAACAAGTGGGGAGAGGGAAGTTAGGAGGGGAAGGTCTGTGGGGTCCCCAGGAGATGTGGAGAGAGTGGGAAGGAAAGCTGCAGTAAGTGTCCTGTTGCAGAGATGGGGTGAGTCTGGGGGCTTGGATTGGAGGAGAGGAGGGAGCGGTGAAGGCATTATTAGTTTACCTGATCTGGCCTGCTCGGCCGGTGTATTCCCAGGGAATGCCTGCTGATGGTGGAGGCTGAAAAAAAAATGGGATGAGATGATGGAAGGAATGCTGGAGGAGATCCTTGTGATCTGTTGGTGATGGGGTCAGAGAGGGAAGGGAGACCATGGCAGGTTTTCTGTTATAGATCTGGAGGAGAGACTTGGGATTGGATCTCAGGAGCAGAAGGAGAGATGTGGAACTGCCTTCATCCTACCAAACCCTGGAAGGATGGGCCAGGAGTGATCATTTCTCAAATTAAAACTAGAATTTTGAAAAGTTTTCCAAACTTTGCCAAATGTGAAAAAGGCCAGGCAGTTTGGCAAAGAGTTTCATGGAATTGGAACTGAATTTTGTTGCTGCTTATTGTTTTCCTGTATTCTGTTTAAACCAGAAGGGAGAGTGAATTCTGTAATCAGTGATTTTCAAGATTGCAGGCCTTCCTTAGCCTTCAGATAGCTGGGTTTGTGGGTAATGTAATTTCTGATTAATACAAAAACTTCAGAATGTTCATCTGAGAGAAAGACAAGCATGTTGTTTACCTGCTGGAGACAATGTGTTATACCTGAACATTGACTTGAGTGAGTTGTACATTTTTAATACATTTATTACACTTGTATGTATAGCTCCTTTGATTTGCATTTTATTTTTAGTTTTTATTTAGTATTTAATACATTATTATTATTTCTTTTGTTGTTTTGTTTTCTTTGTGTAGCCCTGAAACTAGCTGTGTTGACCAGGCTAGCTTTGAATTGGCAGATCGCCCTCTTCTGCCTCATGCATTCTCGGATTAAAATGCAGAACTTTGAAACTGCTGTTCAAATCAAACACAATTAGGAATAAAGTATAGTTGTCTGTCAGCTCCGTCCTTCCACTAAGATAATCCCTGTACAGAACAAAGCACTGCCTCTCAAGGCCCTGTGTCGTCTTGAATGTGACTGAGCTCCACGGGCTCACATATTTGAAATCTTCTTCATCAGTTCGTGGAACTGTTTGGAACAGTTTTAGGAAATGTGGCCATATCGTAGGAGGCATGTCAAAGGCCACGGCAGGCATAGTATCCATCTTTTTATCTGCTACCTTTGAATAAGGACTTAAATAGTCAGCTACCTTTCCAACTCTATGTCTTTCTGCTTTCCACTATGATAATCATTGACTAACACTCTAATAGGTTTTCTATAATCTGATAATAGGGTTATCTGCCAACACAGTAAGCCAGAGCGAGCTGAGTTAAAAGTAAAACACAAGGTTTATTTGGGTTAAGTGCTCCTGGGTGATGCTCAGGGGAAGGGGACAGGAGAGAAATCACATGACTGCCCTAAAGCAGAGGCCTTAAATACCCTGTAGGAAAGAGGTGATGACGTGTTTTCTACAAGCAGGGTTCATGCCCAATTATAACGTTTTGGGTGGGCTCTTGGGGAGCTGACAGCCTCTGGCTGATGTGGTCACCAGGAATGTGCAAGTGGACCTTTTGGAGGTCTTTCTGAGAGGGCGGGGTTAGTAGAGGGAGGAATGGGGCCCAGGTGGAGATTCCAGCTGTACACCCGCTAAAAGTGTACATAAGGCCCCATTAAATGCTTTCTTTTATAATAGTTGCTTGATGATAATGTTTCTCCTAGCAGGTGAGTAGTGACTGAGACAGTGGGTCTTCTTGTATTACATCAAGTAATCAAGATCGCATCCCACAGAGTCATTTAGGGGTGTTTTCAGAAGCATATATACTAGATGATTCTGTATCCTGTCTGTCTGTCAGTTACAAGTAACCATCCTACTATATGGACTCTTAGGAGCCAGTGACCTTTGACGATGTGGCCGTGGACTTCACTGTAGGAGAGTGGGCTTTGTTGGATCCTACTCAAAAGAAGCTCTACAGTACTGTGATGGAGGAAACATTTTTGAACCTGATCTCCATAGGTAAAAAAAAATAAAAAATAAAAAAAGTTCTCATTGTTTATTCAGTCAGAGAGCAACTGTTTTCTGATTACGTGTATAGTGTTGTGATTTGGATTCTTGCAGGCACTGTGGTGAATTTCATGTGGATACACATGTCATAAGACCTAGGTTGTAACAGTTTTTTTTATGTTCAATGTGAATGTCATAAAGTGTTCTGGGTTTTCTTCTAGAGGAAGCACTAGGAGAAAATATTGAAGAGGACTACAAAGAACTCAGCAGAAATATGGGGTAATTTATATTCAATAGAACAGAATTTATGTGAAACATTTGGGAATCTTGAGACACCTGGGATCCTGCCACATGCTCCAAACACACCTAAGTGAAAAACGGTTCTCCACAAATCCTTGTGATGGAGCAGTGATTTATCATTCAGCATGTGAGCACCCTGTGTGTGCAGTCTATTAATATCACTAATATTCCATGGAACATTAAGCTCTGAAAGGTTTTCCCATAGCTTTTGACACCCAACTTCCCTTCATATCCAAAAGTATTTACTGCCTGTCTATATGTTATCCTGAGGTTTTTAAGATTAGAGCTATAATCCATTTGCTCGATTTTTCTGTCACAAAAAACAACCCTCTGGGGTGGAGCTCATTTTTACTTACACTTTCTTGTCACAGTCCCATAGAGGGATGCCAGGGCAGACATGGGAGGAATCTGGAGGTACAAACTGGAGCAGAAGTGATGGAGAAAAATTCTGTTTACTGGTGTGCTCCTTATCCATTACTTAGCTCCTGGGTTCTTCAAGCCTGGCCCGCCCACATCTCCAGGGAGACACCACCCACAGTGGACTCAGTCAGTGACCAGGAACATGCTTCCACATAGAGGCCTAAATGTCAATCTGATAAAGAATTTTCTCCTTTCTGGTTGCCTCTTCTGAGATGTGTATCCTGGTTTATGTCAAGTTGAACAAAACTCACTAGCAGATATCTTTCCTACACAGCTTGTGCACTCCTGCCCTTGGGCACACTACCCAACATTGCTGAATCCCTCCTTTATCAATGAGGAATGGGAAAATGCTCCCCCAGACTTGTTTACAAGCTAATCGGAGTCATTTTCTCAATTGAGGTCCCTATTCTGACCCTAGATGAATTAGTTGATAACTAACTAGCCGACACTGGCTGAGTCATAGAATGCCCGAAGGCACTCACCACTGTCAGTGATTGTTACGATTGCCTCCGAACAACAGGACTTTTGCTTCCATGTGCACTTTTATGCCACTCATATGTGTTTGTATTCTTGTATCCACCGCTTGTGATAAGAACTTGTGTGGAAGGCAGAAGAGATCAAGAGTAAAAGTAACTTGTGAGCCCTCCACATGAATGCTGGTCATCAAAATCTGTCCGCTGGAAGACTAAGACTTGTTCTTAGTATCAAAGCCTGTGATACAGTTCTTTCACAATTCTTATACGAGTCCACAGTCTGCTTCTTTACACATGTCAGGGTCTATATGTTTTTTGCCTGCACTTCAATATTTTTCTCGGCTACAATAATGCTTTTCTTATTTTTTTTTTTTTTTTTGCAGAGCTCAGGTGATTGAGAAAGCCTGTGAATACAAATGTGCTAGTAGGTGTGATACAAATCAGGAACCTATTACAGAGAATAGCATCAATAAAGGCATGCCTCCTGCAATAAGAGTTCATGAAAGCCCATTGCATATAAGAAACACCATTAGTCATTCATCCTTACATGAGTATCTCAGAGAACAATCTAGAGGGATACGCTCTGTTTATAAGGAAGCTATGGCAAAAGCTTTTACACATCAGAAACATTGGAAAGATATCCACCATTCTGAATCAGTTCTAGTATTGGAAACTTCTCCCAAGAAGAAAACCTTTAAAAGTAGACAATGTAATGAAGCCTATGGGAGTCTCCCCTTTGAGCAGCCTCAGGAGAGAACTCACACTGGAGAAAAAGTCGATAAGAATACATTAATGAGATTCACATATGGCCAGAATGATGGACTCCATAAAGAAGTTAAACAATTTGTGTGTAAGCTCTATGAAGAATCTGTCATTGATTCCACTGGCATTATAAACCACGAAAAGAGTCAGATTGGAGAGAAAAGGTACGTTTGTAGGCAATGTGGCAAAACATTTAATTATGCAAAATGTTTAGAAAACCATGAAGCAACTCACAAAGGAGAGAAGCCTTATGCTTGTAAACATTTTAGAAAAGCCTTCACACAATACAGTTATCATAATAGTAATGAAAGCAGTCACATGGGACAGAATCCTTATGCATGTAAATATTGTGGAAAAGGCTTCACCAGTTCTGCTTATCGAAACACTCATGAAAGAACTCACATTGGAGAAAAGCCTTATGCATGTAAGTACTGTGGAAAAGCCTTCACCAGTTCTGCTTACTGTAATATTCATGAAAGAACTCACACTGGAGAAAAGCCTTATGCATGCAAGTATTGTGGGAAAGCCTTCACCAGTTCTGCTTACTGTAATATTCATGAAAGAACTCACACTGGAGAAAAGCCTTATGCCTGTACACATTGTGGAAAAGCCTTTGGTGACTTAAGTCGTCGTAACAGACATGAACGGAGTCACACTGGAGAGAATCCTTATGCATGTAGGTATTGTGGGAAAGCCTTCAGTGACTCTAGTCGTCGTAACAGACATGAAAGGATTCACACTGGAGAGAAGCCTTATACATGTAAGCATTGTGGGAAAACCTTCACCAATTTCAGTTCGTGTAAAGCTCATGAAAGAGTTCACACTGGAGAGAAGCCTTATGCATGCAAGATTTGTGGAAAAGCATTTACCCGCTCCAATCAACTGAGTATTCATGAAAGAGTTCATAGTGGACAGAAGCCTTATGCATGTAAACATTGTGGGAAAACCTTCAAAACTTCTACTTGTCGAAACTTACATGAAAAAATTCACACTGGAGAGAAATCCTTTGTCTGTAAAACATGTGGGAAACTGTTCATTCAGTCTAGTGATCTTAACAAACATGAAAGAGTTCACTCCAAAGACAAGCCTTATGCATGTAAACACTGTGGAAAATTCTTCAGTGACTCAAGTAGTCGTTACAGACATGAAAGGCGTCACACTGGTGAGAAGCCTTATGCATATAAGCATTGTTGACAGACCAATTTCAGTTTGTGTAAGGGTTACAAAATAGTTCACACTGGAGTGAAGCATTATGCATGTAATCATTGTGGAAAAGCATTTACCTGCTCCAGCCATCTGAACATTCATGAAAAGACTCACTACAGAAAAACCCAATTCATGTAGAAAAACCTCCAACACTTCTACTTGGTGTAACTTGCATGAAAACAACAACAACAAAAAACATATTGGTGAGAAACCCTTTGAGAGACTTCATAAAACTCTAGTGATTATAAAAGACATGGAAGAGTTCACTCAAAAGACAGGCCTTATGCATGTGAAAATTGTGAGAAAGCCTTCAGCTGTTCTAGTGCTCTTAACAGACATGAAATGCTTCACACTAGTTGGTAGCATAATTGTGGTAAACATTTTGGATAACCTTTAGTATTTCCACTTAGCACAAGAGTAATAAGCATTCACATTGGAGAAAAACCCTCTGTAAACATTTGGTAAACTCTTTGTTCTTGTTATTTTCTCAAACATAAAAGCTCTCACCCTAGTGAGGAATTTTATCAACATTACCAATGTGGTTTATCCTTCACCATTTCCAGTTTCTGTATTCCTCATGCAAGAATTTACGCTTAAAAGAGGCCTAATGCATGTATGCATTTAAGTACTGTGCAAAAGCCTTCATCAGACTGGGTTGTAGTGGTGCACGCCTTTAATCCCAGCTCTCAGCAGGTGAAGGCAGGCGATATCTGTGAGTTCGAGACCAGCCTGGTCTACAAGAGCTAGTTCCAGGAAAACCTCCAAAGCCACAGAGAAACCCTGTCTCACCCCCACCCCCCAGAAAAAAAGCCTTCATCCATTCCTTTTGCCATGATGTTCTTAAGAATTTACCCTGGAGACAGGCCTTATCTACATAGCTGTGGAAAACCTTTTAGCATCACTTTTCCTAGTCTACTCAAAATTGTTTTCCACTGGAGAAATATTCACAGTTTTAAAAACCTTGTCCTCTTAATTAATCCGTCCCTGAATTTCTGTGTTTCAAATCTATGCTCAAACTCAAAATGATCTCACAGTGAAAACTGCAGTGTGTAACCAGAATTAACTCTCTGACACTGTGTTGCTGACGGTTGGTTTTCTCGTCCTGCCAAGTCCCGCTGCTGCTTCAGCCCCAAATGAACACACAGAGACTTATATTAATTATAAAACTGTTGGCCGATGGCTAGGGTTCTTATTAGCTAGCTCTGTCTTAATTATTAACTCATAACTACTAATCTACATATTTCTACATGACCTTATCTTACCAGAGAACACCTGGTTCGTCCTATCCTCCCAGTTCCTCCATGGTGTCCCTTTCTGCCTACCTTTCCCAGAATTCTCCTCATCTCCTAGCCCCGCCTATCTTCTTGCCTCTACTGGCTATTGGCCAGTGTTTTATTTATCAGCCAATAAGAGAAACATATATACAGAAGGGTATCCTCCATCAACACTGCATTGCTCAAGTTGCTTCTGTTGTGAGGTGTGAAAGAAGAATGTGGTTAGAACTATTAATGGTTCTTGCCAGAAAGATGTTATTATCTCAGTTACCTCCTTGGATCTTACATGGTGGAAATAGAGACACAATTCTGGAAAGTTGTCTTCTGAGAATCAAGTATATTTTGTAATGAACACAGAGAGTAAAAAAAAGAGAGATACAAATGAGTAAAGAAATAATGACATGTTTATATGAGAGTGGAGACATAGCTAGCAAATACAGTATTTTAATGCTGGAAGATACAGATTAGGAGACCCACAAAAGTGTAATTTTAAGGCCCAGTATTTTACTGTATGTAGCATGAAAACCATTTGCACTATGAACAATAGCATCTGTATTTTGCTGTGTGCGTGGTTTTTTGTTTGTTTGTTTGTTTGTTTAACCATGGCTATGGCAGTAGCTTTGAAAGCAGGTATAGCAGTGGTGTGCTTGAGGATGGCCAATACACAAGTAAGTGTGAAGCTTTGTCCCCGTTGATGGATCTGTTTGAGGATGATCAGAAAGTATGGCCTGTGGTAAATATCTGTCACTCTAGGCAAGATTGAGATTTCTAAAAGCCCCGACACTCCTAGTGTAGTCTCTCTGCCTCCTGATTGAAGATGATCCTATGAGCTGTAGTTGTTCCTGACCCAATGCCTTTGCTCCACCAGAACAGATTCTAACTCTGCAATTTCAAGCCCAATATAACAAAACTTGATTTACTTTTTAAAAATAAAAAGCAAGTGTGATTTGTCACAGTTCTAGAAAAGAAACTCTGATATCCATCCACCTTGGTGCTTTAAGAAGAATCAAAACCCATCAAGAGAAATTTTCATGGCAAAACTGAAAAGTCTAGTTGTCATTTAAATGAACTAAAAATTGTAAAACTTTTTCATATACTTGAATAAAAAATCAGCAATGAATTAAATTCTTCCTGGAAGTTAGTCCAAAAGTTTTAGAATCAGCTTGAAAAAAGTACATTCACATTTTCAGCATTTTATTAATGGCCTCTTCCTAAACAGGAGATTTACTTTGCATTATCTTTTTTTAGGAAGGCAGGGTATGATTTCTGTGGTTACTGCAGGTAATCTCACATCTGAAGTTTTGGAGCTAGGAAGCACAAACAAGAGATTTATCTTTCTGAATACGAGTTAGCACATATGTTTTGTAGTTGATTCCATCTACCAAAACATTTTCTGACTTAGCTTTTTGTTTTGTGCCTGAGTAGTTTTCCATTGGTAATTGGTGAAGATACTAGAGAGGGTAATAGCTTAATGTGACTGATAGGGGGGAAGTGTGAAAACTGACAGGAGACTTCTAATTAGGGGTGAAATGAAGATAGTATGGTAGAGGGATAAGGAACAAAACTAATGTTGTTTGGTAATGGTTAAGAAGTAGTTCTTTTGTATATACCTAAAATGTTATACCATGTATAGTTTGAATAATATACAGTATCTATTATTATATATAATAGTGGTATATTATACTCACCTAATATATAATGCAGGTGTGAATAAAAGTATGTACACACTCATGAATATACAAACACAAATATATTAAATGAAATTATGTCATTTGCCAAGACTCTCCCGCCCTCAAGAACCTTACATTAATAAAAACCGGGCATGAAAAATCTCCATTTGCATTGTTCACGATTGTCTATGTAATCCCCCAAGTAATTTAAGGTATTACTCTTTCTTTTGGTCATTTTTGAGAGATTGAGTCTAAATTGTATTTGCTTAACCATTCCACAATTTGGATGTAGGACTGGGAAGGGCTGAACTGGGTCTAACACCAAAACTGTCTTCATTAGTCTAAGTCGTAGTAATATACACAGTGCAATTTGCCAAGTAAGAGAAACAGTCAATAGCCCTCCCCAACTGTGACTTCTGTTGTGGCTTCTATGGGAATGTCCCCCATAGGGACATTGTTTTACCAGTTGGTAAAACTGGTGGGAAGTATTAGATGTAATCTACTTGCAGAGGGTTAGTCACTGGGACAGCTTTCATGCTTCAGTGCTAACATTGTTGCAAGTTAGTTCTTTCTGCCTGCAAATTACAGATCATGATGTAAGCTCTTAGCTAATATCCATTGCTACGCTTGCCTGCCTGTTGCCATATTACCTGTACTGATAACCCATGGGCTCTAACCTCTGGAACCATGAGTGTCCAGAAATGTTTTCTTTCTTAAGTTGCTTTGGTCATGAAATAGGGAAGTAACAATAGGAAAATAGCAAAGAACCCTATGAATCCAAACAGTGACCAGCCTGGTTAGCTTTTAATACGGGTGTGATAGTTTCATCCATGTCTTGTTGGTAACCAGCTGCTGTATAATTATATTTAAGGTCTGCCCAACAGGAGAGAATCATGCCTGGTACTAGAAATATAACCAGTAAGTCAGGATAGTGATATCATGGATTTTAGAGAATCTGCTTCTGCCACTTTACTAGGACAGCCTAACTCCGGTCTTAAAACATACTTTTATGCTCACAGCAACATAGCTCATGCCTTGCTGTAAATAATCTCTGTAGAGAAAACAGACAACTCCAGCCTTGCTTCATTCTTTCCTCTTGCGTTTTAAAGAAGGGGGGATGAAGATTTGGTTATTTTCTGTTTTTACAGTGATACAGTTAGCGAATAAAAGTCGCATATACCCTCCTCAGTATTAGTTCCCTTCCAATTACTTCTCACCTATTTTCTCTAACTTTGTTGACTAGATCTTAATTTTTAATTCTGTTTGTTAAAAGAATGGATTAATTTACTGTAATACCAGATCACAAAACAAGGAAAACATGCATATTAATACCTCTATTGTGATATGGATGGCTGGCAATTCCATCTTCTGGCCTAAACTGTTAATAAATGTTGTCATGTGACCAAGGAATACTGTAAGCACAATAGCAATAAGGTCTGGGAGGATCACCTTTAGGAGTTGCACTGACTATGACATCTCTCTCTTGAGAATCATCAAATCGTCAAATAGCAACCACTTAGTGATATGTGTTTAAAAGAATTATCTCTCACATCTAAATAGTAACCCTTATGATTATATTAGTCTTTTAGATTACCTGTCAGTCACTTAATGATAATGTCCCCATACAATAGATCAAAGAAGGGAACACTAGACCTCCAGAGTGGGTTCTTTTGTTGTACAAACATTTCATATTACATAGCCATTGGCTTCTAAAGACAACTTAGTTTACCCTGTCTCCAAATATTATGGTCACATGTTTACATTTCCCCCAATCATTCCAGATTCAATAAAATATTAATGACCTATCTGCTAGAACAAATTACATTTTGTCTTAGAAAAAGAAGTCAAGTTTAAACCCTGACAGTGATGTCTACTTGTAGATCCTGACTCTGACTGGGAAGCTTCATCCTGGATGACTAATATAAATCAACTTCAGTGGAATTCATGCTACCCCAATTCTGAGAAACCTTTTGGCCTTTGTTCTAGCCAAATTAGCTGGAGACAACCAATGCAATAATTCAATTGCATTGTACTCCATCAGTAATATTCAAACTGCCTCAGCTACTGGTAAGTTTAGCAGGTCTCAAGTAACCAGGGGACACTAGTCTCCAACTTTTGCAGCTATTCATACCTATCAGTATGATATTTAGTGTGCCATTAAGTGTTTCATAATATCTTAAAATGCTACCTATTTCTATAAAACATAGTACCTTGATCATGAAAAATAAGTTTCATTCAAGTATAAGAGTTAAACACTGTTACAGAAATTTCAGAAATAATTTATGTTGAGAAATTTTTAATTTTAATTCATTTATGGTAATTCTTATGAATAACCAAATAGTCATAAATTTGTTGTATGTCATTTTGGATGACTCTGGATAATATATGTAGTAAGTCTATGTTGGATGAATTGCTATGAATTACCTTTCAGACATACTTTTGTAAATTTTAATCATATTTTTCATGTGTATGAATATTTGGTCTGCATGTCTATCAGTGCCTCATGTGCATACTTTGTGCCCAGGAGGTCAACTTTGCTCTTTCTCTATGAAATATCATTTTCTTATGGGTATGATACAAAATACA